ATGATCGGCGAGCCATAGAAAATAAATGGATCTTTAGGAAGAAGACAGACGCGAATGGTAATGTGACCATCTATAAAGCTCGGCTTGTCGCTAAGGGTTATCGACAAGTTCAAGGGGTTGACTACGATGAGAATTTCTCACCCGTAGCGAAGCTGAAGTCCGTCCGAATCATGTTAGCAATTGCCGCATTGTATGATTATGAGATATGGCAAATGGATGTCAAAATGGCATTCCTTAATGGTTTCCTTAAGGAAGAATTGTATATGATGCAGCCGGAAGGTTTTGTCGGTTCTAAGAATGCTGACAAGGTGTGCAAGCTCCAACGCTCAATCTATGGGCTGGTGCAAGCATCTCGGAGTTGGAACATTCGTTTTGATGAGATGATCAAAGCGTTTGGGTTTACGCAGACTTATGGAGAAGCCTGCGTTTACAAGAAAGTGAGTGGGAGCTCTGTAGCATTTCTCATATTGTATGTGGATGACATACTATTGATGGGAAATGATATAGAATTCCTAGAAAGCATAAAGGCCTACTTGAACAAGTGTTTTTCAATGAAGGAACTTGGAGAAGCTGCTTATATATTAGGCATCAAGATCTATAGAGATAGATCGAGACGCCTCATTGGTCTTTCACAAAGTACATACCTTGACAAGATATCGAAGAAGTTCAATATGGATCAGTCCAAGAAGGGGTTCTTGCCTGTATTGCAAGGTATGAGATTGAGCACAGCTCAATGCCCGACCACGGCAGAAGATAGAGAAAAGATGAGTGTCGTCCCCTATGCCTCGGCCATAGGGTCTATCATGTATGCCATGCTGTGTACCAGACCTGATGTAAACCTTGTCGTAAGTTTGGTAGGAAGGTACCAAAGTAATCCCGGCATGGAACACTAGACAGCGGTCAAGAATATCCTGAAGTACCTGAAAAGGACTAAGGATATGTTTCTCGTCTATGGAGGTGACGAAGAGCTCGTCGTAAAGGGTTACGTCGATGCTAGCTTCGACACAGATCTGGATGACTCTAAGTCACAAACCGGATACGTGTATATTTTGAATGGTGGGGCAGTCAGCTGGTGCAGTTGCAAGCAAAGCGCCATGGCGGGATCTACATGTGAAGCGGAGTACATGGCAGCCTCGGAGGCAGCACAAGAAGCAATATGGGTGAAGGAGTTCATTACCGACCTAGGAGTTATTCCCAATGCGTCGGGCCCGATGACACTCTTCTGTGACAACACTGGAGCTATTGCCCTTGCCAAGGAGCCCAGGTTTCACAGGAAGACCAGGCATATCAAGCGTCACTTCAACTCCATTCGTGAAAATGTTCAAAATGGAGACATAGATATTTGCAAAGTGCATACGGACTTGAATGTCGCAGATCCTAAACCTCTTCCTCGAGCAAAACATGATCAACACCAGAACTCTATGGGTGTTCGATTCATCACAATGTAACTAGATTATTGACTCTAGTGCAAGTGGGAGACTGTTGGAAATATACCCTAGAGGCAATAATAAAATGGTTATTATTATATTTCCTTGTTCATGATAATTGTCTATTGTTCATGCTATAATTGTGTTATCCGGAAATCGTAATACATGTGTGAATATATAGACCACAACATGTCCCTAGTGAGCCTCTAGTTGACTAACTCGTTGATCAACAGATAGTCATGGTTTCTTGACTATGGACATTAGATGTCATTGATAACGGGGTCACATCATTAGAAGAATGATGTGATGGACAAGACCCAATCTTAAGCATAGCACAAGATCGTGTAGTTCGTCTGCTAGAGCTTTTCTAATGTCAAGTATCTTTTCCTTAGACCATGAGATTGTGCAACTCCCGGATACTTTAGGAATACTTTGGGTGTGCCAAACGTCACAACGTAACTGGGTGACTATAAAGATGCACTACGGGTATCTCCGAAAGTGTCTGTTGGGTTGGCACGAATCAAGACTGGGATTTGTCACTCCGCATGACGGAGAGGTATCTCTGGGCCCACTCGGTAAAACATCATCGTAATGAGTTCAATGTGACTAAGGGTTGGTCATGGGATGATGTGTTATGGAACGACTAAAGTGACTTGCCGGTAACGAGATTGAACGAGGTATTGGGATACCGACGATCGAATCTCGGGCAAGTAACGTACCGATTGACAAAGGGAATTGAATACGAGATTGATTGAATCCTCGACATCGTGGTTCATCCGATGAGATCAACGTGGAATATGTGGGATCCAACATGGGTATCCAGATCCCGCTGTTGGTTATTGGCCGGAGAGTTGTCTCGGTCATGTCTGCATGGTTCCCGAACCTGTAGGGTCTACACACTTAAGGTTCGGTGACGCTAGGGTTGTAGAGATATTAGTATGCGGTAACCCAAAAGTTGTTCGGAGTCCCGGATGAGATCCAGGACGTCACGAGGAGTTCCAGAATGGTCCGGAGGTAAAGATTTATATATATAGGAAGACCAGTTTCGGCCACCGGGAAAGTTTTGGGGGTCACCGGTATTGTACCGGGACCACCGGAAGGGTCCCGGGGGTCCACCGGGTGGGGCCACCTATCTCGAAGGGCCCCATGGGCTGAAGTGGGAAGGGAACCAGCCCCTGGTGGGCTGGTGCGCCCCCCTTGGGCCTCCTCCTGCGACTAGGGTTGGAAACCCTAGGGGTGGGGGGCGCCTCCACCTGGCTTGGGGGCCAAGCCACCCCCTTCGCCGCCGCCCCCCATCTAGATGGGATCTAGAGGGGCCGGCGCCCCGCTAGCCCCTATATATAGTGGAGGGGAGGGAGGGCAGCCGCACCCAAGTCCCCGGCGCCTCCCTCTCCCCCCGTGACACCTCTCCTTCTCGTTGGTGCTTGGCGAAGCCCTGCCGAGATCCCGCTGCTTCCACCACCACGCCGTTGTGCTGCTGGATCTCCATCAACCTCTCCTCTCCCCTTGCTGGATCAAGAAGGAGGAGACGTCTCTCCCAACCGTACGTGTGTTGAACGCGGAGGTGCCGTCCATTCGACGTTCGGTCATCGGTGATTTGGATCACGACGAGTACGACTCCATCAACCCCGTTCTCTTGAACGCTTCCGCTCGCGATCTACAAGGGTATGTAGATGCACTCCCCTCTCCCTTGTTTCTAGATGACTCCATAGATTGATCTTGGTGATGCGTAGAAAATTTTAAAATTCTGCTACGTTCCCCAACACTTTATACACGATGTTATAGAAGAAAGATTGACAATATGACTTATGTTGCAGAAATCTTCTTTGCAACAGACCGGGCGTTGCAAAAAAAGACCATTGTCGTTCGTCACGAGCTCCCACTGGACGATGATGAGGGCGAGTAGCACCACCCGTTCCCGCCATCGCAATGCCATCGGGAACCCCTAGAGCTCTGACCACTCACCATCCTACTCATCGTCGAGATGTACACCATTGTCATGCACTTTTATACGGGACAGAGAGGTTGGGAAAGAGATCAGATGAGGGAGAGAGACGAAGAGATAAGATGTGGGAGAGAGACAAAGAGATAAGACGAGGGAGGAAAACATGAGTGGTCTAGTGGGCCACGTGTCAAGCGAATGGAGCGGCGGCCGTGTAATCAGCTGGCTGGTGGGGATCTTTTCCCGTAAATAAAAGGGAAACGATTCATATCACACGGCGGATAATCACGCTCGCATCCGCCATCTCAGTTGCATGCCACGCGTCCGTTCTGAACCCCACCACCACATTATTTGCAACAGCCACGCCACGCCTCATACCTTATCCTCTTCTCCCGAATCTCCTTCCTCATGAATCAAAGCTGCCAAGCGAAGCGGTTCCCCGTGCCACTCACATCTTTCCTTCCCTGGGCGCGAATTTGGCTCGAGCTCGCCGAGAAAGCAGTCGGAGGCAAAGGAATCGACTGCCGCTAGCATGGTTCCTGTGAAGAGAAGGAGATGGAGGTGAGAGAGCGGGGAGGTCATGGGAGGGGAAAGGCGCGGCGCGCCGGAGAAAGGGCTCGCCGACGGGCAGCGGGGTCGCCGGGCAGCGCAGAAGCTTCAGGCGCGAGCCCTGCTGGTGTTTGTGGTGCCATCTTATCTCCGCAACAACGGCGCTGTTGCAGAATAGTGGCAGACCGCGCAAGTACGCGAGTGGCCGGGGATGCTGTTGCAAATTTTGCAACATGGGCCCTGTTGCAGAAAATTAGATGCGGCGAAGATGTTGTTTTAATTTTTGCAACAAGGATCTTGTTGCAGAAAATTAGACGCGTGAAAGATGTTGCGGAAAATTAGACGCATGAAAGATATTGTTGCAGAAAATTAGACGCATGAAAATATTGTTGCAGAAAATTAGATGCGGCGGGAGATGTTATTGCAATTTTTCTAAGGGTCTTGTTGTAGAAAACTAAAGAAGAAGAGGTTTTGCAACATGGGTCTTGTTGCAAAAAATTGTAGAAGATGAGGTTTCGTAACAAAGGTCTTGTTCAGGAAATTAAAGAAGGCCTGATCTTGCAATAAGAGCATTGTTGCAGGAAATTAGAGAGGAGGATTGAATGACTCGTCACGCAATCGAATGGCTCGCGAGGCGGCTGCTCTTTTTAAAAGAGCCACCGGCCGACGTGTAGCAGCTCCCTAAAAGTAGGTGAAAAACATGCAAACATGTGGGAATTTTGGGCGGAATTTCCCTACACTGGATAGGATCACGAATAAACCTGGCCATGGGATACCCGGCCCAGCCTAGCCGGCAAAAGCCCGACCCGGCGGACTTTTCCTCTGATGGGCTGAGGCTGGGTCTGGAATCTAGGCCCGATGACCAGGCCAAGTTGGGCCCGGGCCTGGGGTTTCTACTTCAGGCTTTGTTAGGCCTAGCCCAACGCATGGGTATGGACAGGGAAGCAAATGAAATCTCTGCTCTTGGATCTCTCCTCTCTGCGGCTGACGGAAATCAGCAGCTAGCATCCACCGGTCGTTTCAGCCACACACTCTTCCTCCTCCGGCGTTTCTTTGTCGAGCTTATTTGTTGAGCTTTAGCCATGTCCATATCGGAAAGCCTTCCTCTGCCATCAAAACAGCTTGGAGACAAAGGAGACATATCTAGGCACTGCTTGAAGGCACCAAAAGTAAGTTCAAGACCAAAATAAAGCCAAAAACTAGTCAAATGCATCCTAAACTAAACCTACGGTTGCCATCTGTAGCACCATCCCCACTTCGGTTTGCCTCACTGGTGGATGAGAAGGGAAAAGAGGAATGGCTTCGCCAAGGTGAGTCTCAACGGGACTCGAGGGAGAGGAGAACGGGACCATGGAAGTAATGGCCACTGAGTGGTTATCCTTCTTTTATTTGCTGAGGTATCGACCATGCCATGAGCCATAGTGGCAACACCCCCCCCTCCCGAAAAAAAACCATTTTAGGGGTTATTTCTCTTGCTTTCTAAATTTAAGTGGGTAGATACTTTGTTTTATAGCCAAAAGGGTTATGTAAATTCTTCGTAGGTGTTTTCGACTTAACCATTTCTTATTCCATAGAATCGATTCCGTAAAACTTCATATACACCGGTTCCCCTGATTTGCGGCGACACTCTAGCCACTCCGAGATGAGGGAATGGTCTTTTGTATTAGGTTTATGTGTCATTTATGGCGGAGTCTCGCCGGTGAAGCTAGTGGCGTGTTGTCACCCGGCTCAATCTATGCTTAGCTTTCGTGTCTTATGATGTGGAGCCAACGGTATGTTGGTTTCTGTTTGGGCACATATTCATCATGGTATTCTCTTTCGTGGTACGGTAATGAAGCGACAATATCATAGCCCAGTTGCAAGGGTTGTGTCCCCCTTCACGTGTGCGGTCAAAAGGCTCCTTGCCCTGATTGTGGCGGGTGACTCGGGCGGCTATTCATGACCTTCGAGGTTAGCCAAGCTGTACAAGTTTGATTTCACCCGAAGAAAAAAAAATACAAGTTTGATTTCTATGCGGATTATTTACCAGGTGCATGGAAGAAGATCAGGTCGCAACCAGAAAAATCAGAGATAACGACTTCAGCGTGTCTTTTGATGTAATTTCAAGACTCCATTTGTTGGGGTTGATTTTTCAAGAGTTTGTCAATGTCATTTGCTGGTTGCTTTTTTATTTGGGTTACTTGGATCTGATCTTGCTCTCTTTGGGGAAAAAATGCTGATATTTGGTGCCAAAGCCCATCCAGATACGGACAGAGAATGAGATGAGATGAGATGAGATGAAATCTCTTCTCCCACATCTTGGCAGGCAGCTGACCGGCAAATGAGCAGCTACCATCCACCAGTCTCCGGTCACCGCAGCCACACACTCTTCCTCCTCCGGCGTTTCTTGCCCCCAAGCAACCACCACCGGAAATCTCTTCCCATTTTTGTCCGCTTCCCGCCGCGCGTGAGGCCTCCACGCATCCCCCGCTTCCCCCTCGCCGGATTCTTTTCCTTGCACGCCCAGCCTCCCTCCCCACCTCGCGCTATCCTCCTCCACCACCACCAGCAGAGGTCCGTACGAGTGGAGGAGGCGGGGGGAGAGCACGCGCCGGCTGGATACGCGCAGACAGTGTGCACCGTCCATGGCCGCCGCCGCCGCGGCCCCGGTGGCCCCCGGGAACGGGCGCCTCGGCCGGCCGCGGGCGCCCCGGGTGGGGCTGCGCATCTGTGCGGCGGCGGCGGCGGCGGGGGCGGGGGAGGGGCCGTCGTGCCTCTACGTCGGGCCCATCGAGACCGCCAGCCAGGAGATGCTGGAGGCGCTCTACCGCCAGGTAATTCCAGTCCCACTCTTGCTCACCTTCCATGCCATCAGATTGCACACAGTTAATCATGAACCTGAAGAAATTAACTGAAAGTCTGCAATCTTTCTGTATCTCATACCGTGCCCTTTGGTGCTGTAAGCAATGTTGTCTGCCGCGCAATCTTTTTGATACTACCGCCTGCGGGTTCCGATCGAGTTCGCAACTGCGCTCGTGCTCCATTCCATCAGATTACAACACCGGCTTGTTATTAGTAGCCTCAGCCACAGTTCAACATGAACCTGAAATTAACTGAAAGTCTGCAATCTCTTTGTACTACACCTTTTGATGCTGTAACCTGTAAACAATGTTGCCTGCTGCACCGTCTTTTTTATACTGCCGCCTGCAGGTTCGATCGGGTTCGCTATTGCTCATGTCCCATTCCATCAGATTACACACCGGCTTGTCAGTAGCTTCAGCTACAGTTCATCATGAGCCTGAAATTAACTAAAGCTTGCAGCTTTGTTTTCTGTTTCTGATTAACCTTCATGCCAGTATAACTAACTGAAAGTTGCAATCTTTTTGTGTTTCATACTGTACCTTTTGATGTTGTACAATTCATGTTGCCTGCTGTGCATTATTATGTGAGCAAAGTTCGTCACCATGGCTACCTGTATATAATCTAGTACCATCTTTCATGGCAGGCCAGGGATTCCTACTACAGCGGCCAGCCTCTGATTGTCGACGACATGTTCGACAAAGTTGAGGTGAACAAAACAGGCCTAAAATCAGCCAATTTACATATCCACCTGATCCAAACCCCCTTCGCTGTCGCGTACCCGCATCTGCATCCTAACGATACATGTGTCCTTGGCCTTGCTAGCTGAAGCTCCGGGTCTACGGCTCCCCGTCGGTCGTAAAATACCCCCGCTGCAGCCTCAAGCGACAGTCGGCGTACGCGGACGCCGAGGTAAACCTTTCTGTGAAAATTCACCCCGTTTCTTCCGGCCAAATCTACCTGGTGCTCCATTAACTTACAAGCTCACAATTCAGTGTTTTGATTGACATTTGGGTATAGGGCAGGAGGACCACTCGATGTTTATGGCGTTATCGAGCATCTGGACGCTGCTGCTCCTGTTTGGTACCTCGGCATTCCTGGTTCCGAGCTTCTACACTCTGAGCCTGGCGTTCGGGGACGCGTTCGGAGCAAGGTCTCTCTTCTCCGGTGCTAAGTCGCTTGACGGGATAACGAGGGTGAACCACATGGTTTTGATCGGACTAGGCTATCTGATTGGCTATCCGGTTGCATCCGCGTCAGGTAAGGAAAGTTCTTCAGTAGATATTGTTTCTATGTTATATCAGTAGTATCATGATTTTCGTGTTCAGTTTGCGAAATTGTGTTCTCCACGCATCTTAAATCATCTTTTTGTTTTTTAAGTTGGTGCATTGCAAGGCCTGTTGACAAACAATGTGGTTGCACTAAAAGGCTCTTGCCCCAATTGCGGTGAGCAGGTTAGTTTTGCTTCTAGTAGTTGCCCATCATGGCTCCTTTTAGTGTTGAAAATTGATCCATATTTCTTTGAGTACAACATTTTGGTCATCTGAGTAAGCAAAGCATGTTCTTGCTAGGTGTTTGCATTCGTGAAGACGGATAAATCCATTAAAGCACCCCACAAGGCAGAATGCCATGTCTGCGAGTGTCCATTGGAGTACCGTACTAAAGTCGAGGTATGTGGAATACCTGTAGTTTTTTTACAGCCTTTACAGCTGTTGTGTTTTTTGTCAGATTATGATCTTGCTAAATCTACATCAAGTTCTTGCACAGTGACATACTCTGCAATCCCTTCACTGATAAGATGATAGATAAGCACGTTCAGGCCCCTATACCACATTTGACACACAAGATCAACACACTGTTGCAGGACACATACTTGAATGAAAATTTCAAATTTATAACTGAGACAAAATTCAGATTTGGAAGTCTTGGTGAGAATTTGCAGTTCTACATGTAGATATCGTGACAGTGTAAAACAACACCTACCATGGCTTCACTTTTTGACATTGCTCTGCAGAGATCTCTTTCTGGACCTAGAAGAAGTTGGGTTTATGGCCGGGTTTATATGGTGAAGCAAGGACATCCTAGGAAAAGGAGATGGATCAAAGACTAGAAATCCAGTGATAGCTGTTGAAGAGATCCACATCTAGTGCGTTCTTATTGGCTGAAAGCCTGAAACTACTTTCTGAAGATAGTAGTCTTGTTGCTCCGTAGTGCATATTCCCATTGTCCATTGATCAAACCAAGCATTTTGTAAAGCAGTCCATTCTTTCCCGAGATATCCAAACTCTGCACATGAACAGATGGTAAAATTATTGGCGAATATTATAGTGGTTTGCTTGTCAAATATTTGCTCAACTAAAATTTGATTTGCCTAATTGATGTAAGTGCTTGAAAGATGCTTAATTATGCTATGCAATCACTGGGAATGTTGTCTAGTGCATATTGTTTCATCATTTATGGGCCTAAAGGAAAGCATTATGTTATTATGAATTTATTAGGAGACCGGAATGACAAAAAACGGCTCCCCTAAGTCTTGGATTTATAGTACAAGGAATTAATAGAACTTAAAGATATGGTTAGCATTTGTCTTAATTATACTTCTGATAAGTAGACGGACTGCCTGTTGGGGATATATAATCGTGAAAACATATGAGTCGCTCGTTTTATACTAGTATGTTAGCTTAGGCTCTACATACTGACAACGATCGGACAGCAAAAAGCACAGTTATTTAACTTGACAACTACTCTCTCCGTTCTGAATTACTTGTTTTGAATTTGTCTAGATATAAATGTATCTAGACTCATTTTAGTGCTAGATACCTCCGTATCTAGACAAACCTAAGACAAGTAATTCAGAACGGAGGGAGTACTAGTAACTAGCCCCTCCGTCTCCGTTCTTTACACTAGGGACAGAGGGAGTACGTACCGTCCCCGAGAACAATCTAGTCTTTGTAAGAATCACCAACAGTTTGTCACAATTAAGAACTGGTCCACTTTTAAATTTAATTAACTTTATTATTATGTCATTAGTCACGAAACACACCACCGTCACATTATCAACAGTTTTTGGGGATATTCCCAGCTATTTTGTGCTCACTAATTCCACTCACTTATCAAGAGAGCTTATCAATGATTGCTCGTTTGTCACTGATTGCCGGTCTGGAAAGATCATTTTGCAGTAGTGAGTAATGTGAAATCAAAGAAATATCCGTTGCTCATAATTAATGGTTCAAGTCCAATGCACCTAGAGATGTGCATAATGGCTTCAAGATGACAAAAACATATTCTCCAAGGTGGAGCTTATTGGGTTCGTCAAAGTATGTTTACGTGTTAAACTATTATTGACCATGTAATTGAAGAGGGTTATGTGTTTGAGTGAAATATGCGCAAATCAGACCTATTGTATAAAATGATATGTGTACTAGACACAGATCACAAGAGGGACGGTCCGTGCTCGTGGCAAATGTAACCAAATAACGCGTCGCGGATGGCCAAAGATGTTGTCCGATGGCCTCGACGGGCTTTATTGTCTTTGTACTATGTCAAAATAACAAATTTTGATGGCGTGCTACGTTGTACGTTTGAGTTTTTTTAAGCATTTGAGCTGTAGGAGGTTCCGGCCTAGTCTTGCCGCTATTTGGCGTTATCTCATTAGGCATCTCCAACTCAATGCGTAAAAATCCTCCCGCATTCATTTGCGGACATGAGGACCGGTCGGTGAACACGAACGTGGAAGGATGCCATCCAACCGTAGTCGGATATATTTGGCTTTCCTCATCTTTTTCAAGTTCGCACGATCAAAAAGCCGCACGCAACACTATTTTAAATTTAAAAATGTTTAAATATTACATTCTAATATGTTGTCCCCTTTTCACCGTCCACTGATGCTCAATCAGATCTTTCTTCAGCTGCTCATGAGTTGGTCGATGCCGAATTTGTTGATGCATTTGAATAAATTCCTCAAATGTGGCCAGATTTTGGTCCGGAAGTTGGATAGGATCACCATGTTCTTAAATTTCAGAGCTGCGGCAGCATCGTCACCCTCATCCTTGATAGTCATGTTGTGCAGGTCCATGAACAACTGCAAAACGGGCCTGCAGAACTCCAAATGCTCTCTCGACATCCTTTCTACCTGCTTCTTGTCTTTGAGTAAAGTGAGCCTTTTTTTCTGGCCAACTGTGTTTGAGATGGTGCTGACAAAGGTAGCCCATGGAGGATAGATACCATCAACCAAATAGTAGCTCATGTTGTACTCATGTCCATTGACAGTACAGTGGCAAGGAGAAGTTTTTCCTTCAGTCAGCCTCACAAACAACGGTGATCGTTGCAGCACATTGATGTCATTATGAAACCCGGGCATGCCAAAGAAAGTGTGCCAAATCCGAAGATCGTGTGATGCAACTGCTTCAAGAATGATGGTGGACTTCTTAACATGACTCTGATATTGCCCTTGTAAAGCCTTCGGGAAGTTCTTCCATTTCCAATGCATGTAGTCAAGAGATCTAAGCAAGCCTGGCCACCCTCTTGCTTCTGAGATTGCCAGGAGCCTCTCGGTGTCTGCTGCAGTTGGTTCTCTCAAGTACTGAGGTCCGAACAACTTGACCACGACAGTTGCAAACCTGACCATGGCATCTCCGCATGTGCTCTCAGACATCTGTAGGTACTCATCCCACGAATCAGCGGTCGTTCCATATGCAACCATCCGAAGAGCGGCCATGTACTTCTGGTAACCAGAGAAGCCGATCGTTCTCATGGCGTCCTTCTTCAGAATGAAGTAGTCATCGTAGGACCGGACGACATGGTACAAATGATCAAAGACAGTATTGCCCATCCAAAAATGCCCGCGAAAATGGTCAGCGAAGGGTTCATTGGGGGCAAAGTAGTCGGTCATCGGTGTGAAATGCCCCCGCACGCCAGCTGTTGCGGTTGGGCAATCGATGACCCTTGATCAAGCCCTTGAAATTGAGAACATGTCTTCCGCACGCTCCGTGTCTTCAAGAACCGTGTGCATCATCGCCGTCTCATCGGAGTACTCGTCCGATGAGCCGTTGGACGGCTCAATATGATGTTCATATATGTACTCCGAATCGAAATCCATTGCTAGAAAGAACAAGGGACAACTGTTTTTAGCTCTGGCGATTCATCGAACAGTTGCCTGGCATGATGAGAATAGCAGTAGCGAATGGTACCTGGCGGGGTGGTCGGACGACAGGGGTTGATTGGAGACGGAGGAGAAGAAGGGTGGAGGCCTGCTGGAGCGCCGGAGGTGACGGACACGCAGAGTTTCGGCAGGGGTGTGGCGTGGTGACCGAGATGGTGGAGCGGCGGTGAAGGAAGAAAGAAAATAAGGAGGATGGACTCGTGAGGTCTGGAAAGGATTTTGGGTGAGCCCGGGGTGTCAGATTTCTATGTTCCGCGTTCAAGAGCGTGAGTTTTACCCAAGAGCGTGACGAGCATCCCAAGGTCAAGTCATGCTTTTATGGCGTACCGAGGGTTCCTTGGCCTTGAGAAAAATTGACGGAGGGAGTATACAAGTAGAAAACTTTTTTTTCAGGGAAAATACAAGTTCTTTTTTTTGAGAGATTTCAGGGAAATACAAGTAGAAACCTACGCACTGCTACTCCCTAAAAGTACTCCCGTCCCCCAAAATACGACTACTGGCTTAGTTGCTCGAGGTAGGTTCCCATCATTTTTCTAATTTCTTTTTATGGTACCAACCTAACCATCATTTGCTTTACTATACTTTTTTTTTGCGGGGGGATTTGCTTTACTATACTAGTAGTATTCCTCGAGATTACGCATTATTGAGGAATATAATGCGTAATGCGTTTTGCTGGAGTATACATTTCTGCGAGAGGGGTTGTTTACGACTACGTTTTGCTGTTGAGGAATATACTCCAGCGCCTGATTAATTACGCATTATTGTATTCTCAACTTGATAGAAAGTACTTTGACAAAGTCGCTGAACCATCCCCCCGCTTCTTTTTACTTCGCATATAAGATTTGGTCAAAGTCAAACTTTGTTAACTTTGACTAAGTTTATAGAAAAAAATATCGAGATTCAAAATATGAAATCAATATTGTTAGATGCATCATGAAATTAATTTCCATACCATATAGCTTTAGTATTGTAGATGTTGATATATTTTTTTTCTATAAAATTGGTCAAGCTTTATAAAGCTTGACTTTGACCAAGTTTTATATGCAGACTAAAAAATGAAGGGAATATATTTTCTTTTTTGGCGGGTGGTGGGGATCAGGTGAGAAAGCAAAGAAGGAAGAGAGTGGAGAGGTGGGTGGGGCAATTTGGTGGTGGGGCCGGCTTGTTAGGACCGATGTGATGGCATGTTCGAACAATCCCAATTCTCCTCGTATATGAGCTTGGGTTTGGGGTGGTTGGTCATTTTGGACAAATATGGCCAGCCGTTGCATTTCTTGAAGAAGTTCGTTGGCATAGAAAAACCAAAACGACCCTTCGATCAAATTGTCCATGCCGGTGGCAAAA